AGACCTTTTGTTAGATTATTAATTATGACTTGCTTAAATTATTGTAGTTTTAGTATATAATTACTATACATTTAATAAGTTGACTTGCCAACTTTTGTTATTACAGATTGAAGAAGACGGTTGAAAAAGCTATTTGAATACACCCTACTAAATGCTGCTTGTCATATCGGACAGGTTTGCAGAATGCAGTCAGGTCGTGAAGACAATTTTGGAATATTACTGTGCAATAGAATATTTTGTTAAACGCTATAGAAACGTATTAAATACGCCAGGCTGCTTGGGGATTTCTGCTGACACAAGAGGTTCAAAGACGATGGAGAGGAGAGGAAGGACGATGAGCGATGTGCGAGGGAAACAATATGGACGCGGAGGTCAGGACATCAGAGCTAGCTGAGAAAATTTGCAATTTTCTGGATCTAGATCGCCATGTGTCTCAATAATCATACAGTTTGGAATTGGTGTGGAAACTGTACACAGAATTATTCATGAAGATCTGAACATGCGCAAAATTTGTGCAAAGTTTGTTCCCGGGGTGCTCATTGATGAACAGAATGTTTGGCGCGTTGGTGATAGCAAGCAGATGGTTGATAGTCATCAAAACTATTCCTCGCCCTCCCTAGAGTCCACAACTTGGACCCTGTAATGTTTGATTATCCCTCAAACTGAGGTTGAATCTCAGGGACTGTTGTTTTAAAGACACTGAGTAAATGAAGGAAGCTGTGACAAGGGGCCTGGATAACTTCATTTTAGATGACTTCCAGGAGGTCTTCATGGTGTTGCTGGAACATTATAACAATTGCATTATGAACAGAGGATCCTAATTTGAAGGAAATTAGAGTTGTGTGCTTCACTGAATTGAATAAATATCTCTCTTGAACAAGACTCAAAACTCACCTCGTAAATTGCGCGAAATATATATATATATATATATGAAAAGTGTATATAAATATAAATAAATATAAGTATGTATAATTATTTATATATTATATGCGCGGTACTTATTAGAAAGCGCTCAATATCAGAGATAGAGCTAACATTTCTGGTTGGATAGATGTGAGTTTGTGACCCTGGGTTTTACGCTTCAGCGATTGTCAGACAAACTGATTAATATATATATATATATAGTAAATTGGTTTCGAATATGGTTTTAATTGATTTGTTTGTTTAACGGAATATCAACACCTTATGGGTCATTTAATACTGAAAATTAATTTTCTTGGGAGCTTTGGAATAATAAAAATATGATTCCACATGGTAGATGATTCACAGCTTTTGATCATATACATGTTTATGGGAACATAATTACTAGTGGTGGTGATATGTTTTTTTCACCATGTAGTTTTGTTGAACGTATATTTTGGACAGTATTTACATTAGGTCGGACTATTGTCCTCATCTTTGTCGCCATATTTGTCATTTTGTTTCAGGCCGTTATTTGTAACATAGCTCCGGCCTTCTTCAGGTGGTTGAAATTTCGAACTGAACCCTTTATTTCGATCGCTGGGGTAGACTGTTCTAATTCCACGTGCATGTTTGATGGATGTCAAAATTACCAAGAATACATATGGATGATCAAATATATTTTATCAGTTGAACGTGCTAAGTTTTCCCTCTGAAAGTTCTCCACTGCCTTAACCAGGAATTGAACTCACCTTCTTTGGGTCTGTCACTGGATCTAACCAACGCCTTTATCCACTGTGCCATGTGTCCTTGAGGACATCTGGGTATGAACTTCTGAGTATTATAAACCTAATGTCTTCTCATATTGCAATTTTGCTGTTATCATTTCATGTTTTTACCAGAGCTCATATTGCAACTTTGTTGTTATTATTGCTTTTCTCTGACACTCCTTATTACTGGTTCCCATATTGTATTTATTTCTATGCTTGGTCGGCTCAGGAGATTTTTGTGGCCTATCATATGTGCTGATTCCTTAAGTTTACGAATTTTCCAATGATGTTCCCTGTCTATGATCTCAACATGATCCCACAGGGGCGGTGATCTCCTTCTCTCTCCATACGTGGTCAGCCACGCCTGATTTTTTCTATTTCCCTCGCGTTACAGCTTTCTGGTGTTCTTGAAGCCTTACCTTGAGGAGGCGGCCTGTCTCTCCTTTATATACCTTTCCGCATTTGCTGAAGACATTAGGTTTATAATACCCAGAAATTCATACCCAGATGTCCTCAAGGACACATGGCACAGTGGATAAAGGCGTTGGTTAGATCCAGTGACAGAACCCAAAGTGTGTGAGTTCAATACCCGGTTAAACAGTGGAAAATAAGCACGAGATAACTGATAACTGACATCCATCAAACATATCACGTGGAACTAGAACAGTCTACCTCAGTGAGCGAAATAAAGGGTTCAGTTCGAAATTCCAAGCACCTGAAGAAGGCCGGAGCGTACAACGGCGGAAACGTTGTGATAAATATGGCGACAAAGATGAGGACAATAGTCCAAATAATGTTGGTAATTTTACTATAAATATATATTTTTATGC